AAAAAAAAAAAAACCTAAACACATGAGATTTCAGGTGGGTCTTCATTTGTTGGCCACCTGCCATTTCAGGTATCTAAAGAAGGAAGGAGTTCTAAGGGTTAATGTAACACCTGCCCTGCGTAGACTGCACCTTAAAAGGCAATTACTCCAGTCAAATTTGGAGTCTGTGGAGGAGGGAGTGGGTGGGTGTTGTGGAGCAAACCCAGCCATATCAGAGAAAGGCTGTTGGGTTGGGGAGGCAGCAAAGAGCAGCTGTGGACTGGGATGATTACTTTAAAAGTAAATTTACCCCATGGAGGCCAGAAAGCAATTGGAGAGAGGGGTATCTGGGTGCTAGGGAGGGAGAGAAAGGAAGAAAAAAAGCCCAGAATGAAAATTCAAAGAAACAACACCCAAGGAAGAAAACCGAGTTTAATGCGAACTCTCCCGACCAACTCAGAGTCTTTTCTCTCTCATTAGAAGCACTTTGGGAAAGATTGTTTTTCCAGGCTCCACAGAGAAGGACATTGTACTATTGATTAAAGAGAAAAGAGAGGAATTCCTTGGGTAGCAGCAGAACTAAGCTGAGGACCAATTTTGCCCGTTCTTGTAGAATTTTTCTCCCTTGGAGAAGGGAACAGGTCACCCAGTAGTCTAATTCTTCCTTTCTCACATTTTCAATTTATTTCTCTTTTCTTCTTTTCATTACCTGTAGAACAAAAAGAGGCAGTGACTGAAGACACAAACGCACACATACCCATGCTTGCTAACACTCTAATACGCAGTGGATCACAAATGAAGAAATCAGCAATCCATTCATAACTTTGGTCCTGTCTAGCTGGATAGGAGGCAGCAAAGACTGAGTTACTGGGAGACATAAAGACTAGTGCTCTCTGGATAGCCATATTATAAGGCATTATCTTTGAAGTCATTTAAGTCCAATTTAAGTGGTATTTAGTATAATATTTATGAATTAATGTAATCTAAACATAGGGCTGTCCTCAAAGGTTTAAACAGCCTTTACTACTGATGTGTGCTTGTTCCCAGAGCCTGCAATGCATTTTAATCTAAATAGCCAAGTCCACATCATAGTCCCTCTTGTTATCCAGTCAGAACAGATCTGTGCCTGGGTAACCACTCTGCTTTGAGATTTTCTCCACTGCATGGAGGAAAATCCACTCTACTGGCAGCCTGGGGGTCTCTCAACCCAGGAGCCACAGCTGCAGGGATTTCAGTCTCTCATACTTCCGCACTACATCCAGAATGAGGGTGGGGACACAGTAATAGAATCTTCTGTGGATTTAGCTCTAGAGAGTATATCATTTTGAAATATACTCACCACCACATGAACAACCTTCTATTTCAACTGTACCTGAATAGGAAATGCCTAAAGCCCCTTGATTTGGGATTTAGTTGTGAGAAAGAGGAAGGATGAACGTATGAATATATTTTGGTTATTTATGAACATCTTCATAAAATTATGTCTTGTATTTGTGCTTAAGATGTAATAATTATCAGAACACTGATTTTCCACCATTTGACTTTACCCAAGAAGGCTCGTTGTTTTGTGGGGTTTGGGGGTTTTAATTTCCCCTGTAGATAGACGAATTAAGACCATGAGACTTTATGTGATTTCCATTTTCAAATGAGTCTAAGAAACAGTGCAGCTGAAGTATTAGCATGGGCATGAGCGCAATTAAAATGAACTTTTTTTAAATTACTTTGAAAAATAAAAATTCAGTTCTGTCCAGGGGAAGACCGGCAGAATGGCTGAGTAGACACCTATAGCTATTAAAAGAAAGATTTGCCTTGTCAGA